AAAAAAAAAAAGTTTAACATATGTCAAATTTCAACATAATAATAGTAAGTTCCAGTACAACTTAATAATTAGGAAACATGACACATTCAGCAACGAAATTCCACTTTAATTGCATCACTCATTATATGTCAAGTTTGTTAATGACTCATTATTTCTAATATTATGAGGTGTAGTTTAAAAAAATAAAATAATAAAATAAATAAAAAATAAAATATAAGCAATTACATGAAATCACAAGAAGTAAATATAGAAAAATAAAAGATAAATAATGTACAAAGAAAAATATATTTTAAAATTTCAAAAGAAATTAAAAAGTAAAATAAAATTAAAAAATTAAAATAAAATTAAAAAATTAAAATAATAGAAGTAAAAAGTTATAAAAAAATAAATTAAAATAAAAACAAAAAGGAAAGAAACTAAAAGGCAATCTTGCAATTACATAGTGTAATTACCACCAATTCTCACCTCCCCTTAAATTGGAGAGTATAATTACACACCTCCAATTACACCCAATTTCATGCTGACCAAGTAATTACTTAGCCAAACAAACATGCCAAACTGCGTAATTACACCCAATTACTCCCAAATCCATTTCCAAGGTGGCTTTTCAAACAAGCTCCTAATTTCGTGCTGATCAAGTAATTACTTGGCCAAATAAATACATCAAACTGTATAATTACACCTAAATCCATTTCCAAGATGGCTTCCCAAACAAGTTCTTAGTGGTATTTAATTTTCTTTGATAGTGAAGAATTTTTACACAAATTAGTGCGAACAGGAATTAGTAATTATCGCAACGTGTCCTTCTACGTTCACATAGTAACTTTCTTTCCGCTCACTCCCGCCAGACCCGAGTCCGGAAAAAAGCAACGATTCTCTTGCTTAACAATTCGCCCCCCCTTTCCCATCTTCTCCACTTTATATATCACTGACACTCTTTTCTCCACAACACATCAACTCGAAACCTTTCCCATTTCCTTACAACTCACCAACTTTTACTCCCAAAAAAAGAAAAAAATAATGGCTTGTGGGTTCAACTCAGTTACGGCTCTGTTATGCCTTTTTTCATTCTGGATTTTCACTTTCAGTTTCACGTCAGCAGCACACCAATCGGCCCCTGCTCCAGCAGCAGATTGCAACAACCTGGTACTCAACTTGGCTGACTGTTTGTCTTTCGTAACCAACGGCAGTACGGAGAAGAAACCAGCGGGTTCTTGTTGTTCTGGACTGAAAATGGTGTTGAAAACAGACGCTGAGTGTCTCTGTGAAGGGTTCAAGAACAGTGCTCAGTTGGGTGTTGCTCTTAATGTCACAAAGGCCTTATCTTTGCCTTCCGCTTGCCATGTCTCTGCTCCTTCTGTTACCAATTGTGGTTGTGAGTTACCCCATCTATCTCTTTCTTTCTTAATCACATCACATGCATAATATATTTGTTTTGTTATGGTGATTTCTCACCTGCTCTGTGATTTTTTTTCTGTTAGGTTTCGTAAATGGGCGTGAATGGTAAATGGAAGAGGCAATTTTTGAGTTGCACCTCTTCATCTCACCCTTTCATTCTCTATAAATTTTAGAGGCTTAGCCTCATTTTCTGATATAGAAAAAATTCTGAAATTCTCCCATTTTGCTTTGCGTTATTTTTCAAAAACAAAGTGATTTGCTCGGCCTTATTGCATTCGCTAAAACACTGGGACACTGGGGTTTAAGGTAATAATCCTAAACCTCGGGTACTAGGAGGACATTAAGTTCCTTAACGACACACTGTGAATTTAGAGGGCTCGGATTTAATTTTGTTCTTCCTATGCATTTCTGTTTCTCTTTTACTTTACAAAATTTTCTGGTTTCGAACAAAGATTACCAACAATTTCTTTCCCCATATTCTATCTATCTCCCCGTCTCTCTTTTTCTGTTGTCTGTCAGATTCTGAGAATGTGTTTTATCTAGCATCTGCAGTTGTTTATGGTTCTCATGTTGTACGGAAAAAATCTTTACACATCACTTTTAGAAATCATTATTCTGAGTTATTTTCCCTTATTTGGTTGGACATAAAAATGATATCCATACAATTTATGGTAGCGTTGCATATAAATATACATGTTTTTACGAAATTCTTGCATATTGAAGGTTGACAACAACATTGTCTAATTGTTGATTGAACATTTTATATGAAATAGGAGTCTGGAATATTTGTTAAAGACAACAAGTTATTTTTCAATTTTAGTGGAAAATGAAGAAAATATATACTAAGGGCAGCCCGGTGCACTAAGTTCCCGCTATGCGTGGGATCCGGGGAAGGGCCAGACCACAAGGGTCTATTATACGCACCCTTACCTTGTGTTTCTGCAAGAGACTGTTTTCACAGCTCGAACCCGTGACCTCCTGGTCACATGGCAACAACTTTACCAGTCACGCCAAGGCTCAGGAAATATATACTGTAGTACCAAAATTCAAAGTAACCAAACAATGATTTCATTAAGTAAAATATTTTCCTTATTCTATGCTTCTGGAGAGAGACACATGTATGTTTTCCTCCTATATCTCTTCTGTTATCTTCTATACATTCTAGTTTCTTTTTTTTGGGATTCGGATTTTTGGCGTCTCTGTTGACTAATTGCTTTTAAGAGGCTGTTAACAGCTTTTTGCTTAATGAATAACCAAATCTTAAACTTAAAATTAGAGTAATATTTTCAATTCATTTCTATATTTGAGTTGATATTTTAACTGAATAATTTCCTTTGTGTTTTTACAGTGAGTATTGGCTCTGGAGCTGCACCTGGTATGTACAATTTAACCTTCTTTTCTGATTTTAATTTCACTTCTCTACTTGCATCTGCTTCTTTGGCTAAATAGAAAATTGCAATGTGCTTGAATTAGATTAAATGCCACACTAATTCCTCAATATTTGCGAACACAAGTGAAGAAATAATCTTTTTTATGATACGCTTTATATTTCAGATTCTTAGGGCTTCGCCACTAGATGTATACAGGGCAAGTATTCAATTTATCCAAAATAGATTCTTTTTGTTTTTCAGTGTAGTTTTAAGGTGATATGCGCTAATTTTTCTCTTTTTATGTTCCGAGGGGCTTAAATTTCGTGTGTATACAGTTACATACAAAGCTGATTGGTATGTTAAAATGGACCCAACCCTAAATATTTTCACATTAGTCCATTCAATTGAAGATTGGTTTTGCACTAGTTCATTGGCTAAATTAAAGATTTTTTCTTAGATCTAAATCCGATATCCAATTTTTTTGTTCCATGGTCGGTTTGACAACTTTGGCTTGAAGTTGGAAGTTGATTAATTTGTTTGTTGAAAACACATTGTAGTGAACAAGATACTTGGGATAATACTAAAACTGAAGTTTTAATTAGGGAGTTTTTGTTTAATCTTGTATTAGAATTAGAGGGGAAATTTTGCTTATTTTTCAGGAAGAGTATTCTATATGGATAACTTGAACAAATAGTGTTTTACTGCTTTGTTGTACATGATTTTGATTTAGTCGATCCACCTTCTTCGCAAGGTTTCTTTTTCAATCATTTAATGCACCATGATTAATCAGGATGTTTTGAATGACCCACATTTATATTGCATTCACATATTAGGCTTTGACAGCAGGAATGGGAATGTTTTTCTTGAGGACATAACTAATTGTAATCTTTTGGGATTAATACATGCATAGGTTATAGGATATACGTCTTAGTTCCCATCATGGCATATGATTCCTTTCAACTTTTATTGTTGGGAAGCTTACACAATGAAATGAAAATGTGTTTCTTTACATTTCAAACTTGCTTATCCTGGAAAATGATCTCGCGTTTGGGTTTCAATGATATGACCTTTCAGGAAAGTAGATTCTTAGTTGGTATACATCTGTTCTCTCAACTTGTGATTTCTCCTCTTCCCACTTTTGTTATGTGAACATAACAACAACAACAACATACCCAATATTATCCCATACCGTGGGGGTTGGGGAGGGTAGTGTGTACGCAGACCTTACCCCTAACTTGTGAGGATAGAGAGGCTGTTTCCATAGACCATCGGCTCCGGAAAGCATAATGTTATGTGAACGGAGTATCAATAAATATGTCCTTCTAACCATTTCTAGATACAAGTTATAATGGACTTTAGTTGCCTTTTGTCTCTTCTCAAGGTTGGATCATCTCTTGCCTTCTCACTTGAATTTAGAATGTTTATATCCATAGTGAACTGCTGTACAATTTTGCAACTCAAGAATTAAGAAGAGTCAAATGGATTGTGTTACAATTGAAGTACAATTAAGTTCTACTAGTTTTACCAAGTAGATAAGATTTTTTTTTTTTTTTTTTTAACTTTTTAATGTTTTTTATTGCAGCTCTTTCCCCGACCGCTGTATCACCAAGCGCGACAGCAGGTACACCAAGTACTGCGGCAGGGACCAACGTGGTTGCTCCAGCGCCTGCTCCGGGAAGTTCCGGTTCAGCTTCACTTTGTCAATCTTTTGGGCCGCTGGCTCTGACCATAGGAGCTGCATTTTTCTCTTTATTCTAAGTAACATTTTTCTGTAATGTTTGTGGTAGGGGTGTGCATTCGAATCGGTTTATCGATAAATCGAATCGATTATTTGTTGTCGAAATCGAAATCGAAAAATCGAAACCTTATTGAAACGATAACGATAAGAATATGTACAAATCGATAATCGATAAGTAATTATCGATAAGGATCAAAATCGAATCGATAAATCGAATGCACACCCCTAGACTGTAGACACTTGTTAAATGAGTAATTACCTATTTGTGTAGATTAATATAACATACAGAATGTATATATATTCCGCTACTATTTTGAAAGCTGCTATACAATATTATTTTCCCTAATCTATACCCTTTCCTTTACCCTAAGTCCCTTACTCTATTATTTCCTCTACCACATTTAAGGAATGATCATATTTAAAGATCAAGGGAATGAAGTTCAAATTAATGGAAAACAGAATTAGCCGTGATGATGTGTTTTGTTTTGTTTTTTTAATACCGTTGGAGTGTTGGTGGCATACATTTGATCCCTTACTTTAGTTTTGTTGCATGTGCTTGTTGACACAATTTTTATATTATAAATGGTGTTCGTCTTATTTAGCTTCTTTTTGTCCATATTAGGTAGGCGCGTTTATAGCGATATACTTTTCGTGGAATCCCGCAAATTTTCTTATTGGTGTAATCGATAACCGAATCGATAAGCCCCAAAATCGATAAATCGAAATCGAAAAAATTGAAATCTTATTGAAACGATAACGATAAGCATATGCACAAATCGATAATCGATAAGTAATTATCGATAAGGGTCAAAATCGAATCGATAAATCGAATGCACACCCCTAGTTCGTGGGGTAGATGAGATCTACACAGCAACTCGGGTTGGTTGTAATTGGGCCCCAGATTTCTTCTTTAAACAAGCAAGTCATGCTAGTGGCCTCATTTAGCCATAATTGCATCCAATTATCGCATGAAAACTGAAAGTCAACTTTAATAATAGTATGTTTAGTCTGTTAGAGTAATAGCTTTTCTTTATTTATCTGGATAAAGGGTTTAAATAAAGCTAACATGCTATTTCACTCCGTTTTAGGTAGGTGTTCCATATTGTTTAATAAAAAGGACAATTCAATTCACATGCTTACTACATGTATTTTTCTGGCCTAGAAATTAGAATGAGTTTTTGCAGTTGTATCTCGTTATGATTGCTAATTATATGTGATGAACCAAATCTGATCATAACTGAAAATAAGATGTTAAGTTACTACAGTGAATATAGATGAGGAACTATACATGAGCAAAACTAAAAGTGAAGGATTAAGTTACTTTCTTGGCTGTATATGAGGGACTAAATTCAAGTGGAAAGTTGGGAAAGAAAGTAGTTCCCTCGAAAAAGATTCAATCCAACCACATGTTTTTCTACGATGTCACCTTAGTTAAAGACCCTATTGTTGTATGCACCAATAAGACCATAATCCCCCAGGTTCTAGACCTATGAGTTAACTTTCTCGTATGAGCATTCGATACATTTGTAAATCCCTGGGAGAGTGAAACACTCGATTGAATCTCCCTTTTTTTGTTTTGTTCCAAAGTCCCAAACTTATGGAATCTTATTTATGTAATGAACCAATTAATTAACATACTAACTAAACTAGAAGATATGGTATTGATAATTCAACAACAATACTATGAAGTTTACATGTTTTTAGGTTGCATAACAGATCATTAGAAGTCAAACAAGAAAGCATATTGTGCATTACTCAATCTTCCAACACATTTCTCATGCCCAAGTCAACAAAGCAAAAATACAAGGTAAATTAGTCATGTAGTACTCTCTCTAAAACATTGTATGTGAAAGAAGTACCACCAAAGGAATACATGGAGTTGAAATAAATAAAGAAAGATACATTTAAAAAAAAAAAAATTCTTTTCAATGCCCAGCCAAAAGCAAATTTACAACTCCCACCAAAACCATCATATAGACACCTTGAACTTTCTTAAGTTAAACATGTGATTCTTTGATAGTAACATAGTTCTTTTGTAAGTGTTTTTACTGTATTTGTCAAGATTCAGGGCTCCAATTTTGGGGCAAATGTCATGACAGCATCTGCCACAGTGAGGAAAATGTTGTCTTCTCCAATCATGTCTGGAAAACCAGATGCATGAAGCTTGTCATTCACCAGTGGCCCTGGATTTGCCAGAACAAGCTGTAAACAAATCAAAAGTGTACATAAATATATTAGCCCCTCAAAAAGATTGGTACAAATGTAAAATTTATATACTATTTTTAGCTTACTTGAACTTCTCTTTTCTGGAGGGACTTAAACAAATCCTCTAAGGAATGAATTCCACTTGTATCCATATCAGTAACAGCTGCAAGAGAGCAAGAATCAAGTTACTCAACGAAAACCTCAGGGACAAAGAATTCGAAGAATATAGTTTTTGGAGAATTCCTTACGCGACATTTCAACTATCAAATACTGGATTCTTTGTTGATTAGTTTCTTTCAGCATTTCGTCTTCATCAATTAGCCATCTTAGTATCCTGCAAAAACTTTGATTTTAGTACGAATCCAACTTATATCGTTAAGCTAACGAAGTAGCAATTAGTACCTGTCCCTCATATAGTTGGAGTTGGAAAAGTAAATAGCAGAATCAACTCTCACAATAAGAATTCCAGGGACCCTTGTTGCTTCTGGATATTGCTGTATATTTCTGTATACAGTAGTCCTAGGGATCTTCCCAAGAACAGCAATCCGAGGCCTTGTAACTTGGAGGAGGATTTTGGCAAATGATATAGCAACCTAATAAATGATAATGTTGCCTTAGTATGATGTAATAATCCAAGAAATTAAGATAAAGAAGAATTGTCCAGCTTGTTTACCGCGATCAAGAGGCCTATCTCAACAGAGTCGAAAACCACCCCAAAGAAGGCTCCCATGCAGGCAACAAAATCAAACTTATCAATCTTATATAGGAGTTTCATTGCATCGATATCTATCAACCCGATAACTGCAGATATGATGATGGAAGCCAATATAGCATTCGGCGTGTACTTGAACAATGGTGTGATCAGTTCTAAAGTTAGTAACACGACACATGACATGATAATGTTTGAGACTGCCGTATGGCATCCAGCCATATAGTTGACTGCTGAACGAGAAAAGGATCCTGCGCAACAATTGCAAGTTTATTTGCAATCAATTTTACTGAGAAATTTAGGTAGGAATAAGCATAGACTTGTTTCTCTGTGTTTTTGCACCTACCTGTAGCCACATAGCAGGACGTCATCGAGCCAACTATATTCATTGTTCCTAAAGCTACCATTTCTTTGTTTCCATCCAACTGGTAATCCTTCAATGCTGCAAATGTTCTTCCAATAGCAGCAGCTTCCTATAATTCAACAAGTTTGTACAATAAAAATAAGCTTTTTGATGCCTGGCCAAGAAATTACTATTAATGTGATGCGAAGCATAACTTACAGTTAGTGCTATCAAACCAGAAATTGCACCAATTTTGAATCCTTTGGTTAAATTTTCACCACTGAAATAAATTTGCTTCAGTGATGGTGGATTGATCCCTCGATCGATGTGTCTTACCTTGATGTTATAAAAAGATCAAATGTAAGGCACAAAAGAAAGAAAAAAAGATAAAAATAATATAGCGATAACATAACAACTATGATAATATAAGAACTCACAATTTGGACACCATCCTTTTCAGCATGGAAGATAAACACAAAGAACGTCGAGAGGATAATGGATATCATTGGAGCAATTGCAGGCACCCAAAAGTATTTCTTGTTCTTTTTTCCCTGTTCAACAATAAAAGGCAAAACAAAAAGCATTAATAATTGGCAATCAGATCAACCATGATGGTAACAGAATTAGTTGTACTTATTTTGATTCTTACGATAAACTTGGCGACTAGAAGGAAAGCCAAGAAAGATACACCAATCACAATAGTCTGCCAGTTCCACTGATCCAAAAGAGAATGATAGTTAGCTCTATTAACAAGTTGAAGAAAACAAAAAGGGAATACATTGAGATTTGTCTGACCCCATGATGTGCTGCAGCAAAAACTGATTTCATAACAGAAACAATATCAGTTTCCTTTGTGAATTTCTTTATGCCAAGCAGACCTTTCAGCTGTTGAAGGCTGATAGTAATGGCTGCTCCAGCCATGAAGCCGACTATCGCAGCATGAGACAGAAAGTCAATCAAGAAACCCAACCTAATTAAAGAGAGAAAAAAAGAATACAAGTCAGCTTATTCTAGTGCTAAAATGCCATAGGAAAAAATTGAGATTAGTAACATACATGTTAAAGCATGTACCCTATATGTAATACTATTTCTATATATCCATTTGTATGTAACATCTATTTGGACAGTCAAACAGTTTTCTCTTGCTATGACAGTCAAATGCTTCATATGTATCTTCACTGTCCATGTCGCTCTTTTCAATTATGAACCTTTATAGTACTATTTATGTACCTTTTTTACTATGGCATTTTAGTTGAAACAGAATACAGATTCAACGTCCTAATTTACACCGAAAATTAAAAGGTCTGACACTCATAATCTGAGCCCCTTCAAGGAATAGTAATTGTTGCATATTCAAGGAAGCAGAATATAACCTGAAAAATCCAAGAATGAACTGAGTAATGCCAGCAAAAAATGTAGCAGTGAAAGCAAGGCGCTGATACTCGAGTTTTTGTTTAACAGGATCAAACTCTGCCTGAAGCATGCTTCCAAGCAAGAGCGACACCACAGCAACTGGCCCTATTGCAATATCTCTGGAACTACCCATAAAGGCATAAACCAAGGGTGGCACAAAGCTACTGTCTGTAATAAACAAAATGAAAATTAATCTTTCAACCTGATAGTAAAGGCAAGTAATAAAGAAGGGGAGCACCATTGGGCCAGAGGCAAATCCAGAATTTAAAGTTGGTGGGTGTCAGAGGCAGATCCAGAATTTAAAGGTAGGGGGCGCACATTTGCATTCAACCAGAATTTGCTTTGTATATAGGGTGCCACTACTAATTTTTAAAGACATGTACAAGTAGATATAGAATTTTTACCGAACTTCACGGGTGCACCCCTCATTCTATAATGTAGGTCTGCCTT